CCCCCCCGTCTGGCCGGCAGCCTCTCTCTCCGCGCGGCGGGCCGACGCCTCCCTCCCACCACACCCCCGGCCGGGCTCTGTGGCTAAGGCGGCCGCGAGCCCCCCGAGAGTCACCGCTCTGCCCAGGAGCACGAGACCAGGACGGTGACAGGAGCCGGCTGCTCCCCTGGCACCGGCACCGAGACTGCGGGATCGGTCCGGCGTGCAGAGCGGCCGCTGCGTTCCTGGGCTCAGCCTCCAAGCGGCGCTCGCGCCCACACAGAGCGGGGCGGGCACTTGGGTGTGGTGTGCGGTCGCCGATGCTGCTTCTCGGGTCTCCCACGCACACTCGGGTGAAACAGGCCGCGAGGCTGACGCCCGGGACATGCCCAGGCCACCCCGCCAGGTGTCCCAGGGCTCTGCCAACTCTGCATCCCACTCGACCCCCTGCCCGTCCTCAATGACTCAGGCAGACGCGGGAGCGTCATCCCACACCCACACCCCGACAGGCCTGTCCCCACCTCACCATCCCAGTCCCCATTCATGTCGCAGCCAAGGCAGCACCGCGTCCTTAGAGCCAGCGCAGAGCCCTGGGGCTGAGGCTGTGGCCTTAGTGTTTCACAGGAACAGTTGGGGAGGATAAAGTTCCGAGGTGGGTGGCGGTGACGGTGCACAACACTCATGTGCTGCAGCCACAGATTATACACTAAAGAGCTACTTTTACATTATGTATTTTTACCACTATCTTAAGAAACAACCAAGGAAACCCCACCAGGGCTTCCCTCTCTTTAAATAAAACCCAAACCCCCGGCCCAGCTCCAGGGCACTGCTCACCTCACCTCCCCATCCCCATCCCCAAGGGTCACCCCACAGACCACTCATCTCAGCCTGTCACTTCCTGATCTCCCAGGGAGGCGGAGAGGTGGCTGGGAGAACACAGCAGGGTGGGCCGGCCCCCAAATCACCAGCTCCAGGACTCTGTCCCGCTGCTCCAACTGAGGCAGGCATGACAACTTTCTTTGGTAGATGAAAGACACCAAGCACACATGGCCAACGGATACAAGTGTCACTCGGCTTTTAACATGTCAGCCCCTTCCTGCCATGATGGACAACCCTAAGGAGCAGCCCTCGCGGGCTCTGGGACATGGCAGGTCCTGGTCAGTCACATGGGGAGGGTGCTCAGCTGTCCAAGGTGGACCTAGGTCCCTGCACTCTCAGGTCTGGTCCCCTCATGTGCTTCCCCGGACGGAGGTGCATTCCCTGGAGCCTGTGGGCTGAGTCTAGTCCCCTGTGGGCCCTGACCCTGATACCCCCTCAGTCCCCGATGAGTCAGGCCCTGCCCAACACGTTGCTCTTCCCAGGCCGGGGCGAGACTGTCGTTACCACTCTGGGTGTGAAGACATTTCCTTTCACAGGCTTTGCAGCAGAGACAGAAGGAGACAGTTGCCAAGCTAGGTGCAGCAGTGCCCAGGGACACTTTTGTCCACAACATTCCACATGCAGGACTGCAACCACCCACGCCAGAACTCAAATGGGGAAAAAGTCAAGACAGCAACCCAGACCTTGGGCTGCACCAACCCGATGCCTGACCCCCACGTCATGCCATCCTCGGAGCCAGGAGGGCCCCCAAGTGATGGCTTGGGTATGTACCAGGTATACAGAAGATGACAGGGTGACACTAAAAGGGCAAACAGAGTGGAAGGACACGGGACACCCCATACTGCCTATTAGCACCAGGCAGGGTCAGTACAGCCATGCAGACACCAGGGAACGAGGGTCACAGCAGCCACCTAGTGACTGGGTAGGGAGGAGAGCTGTTGAGAAAACATGCCCAAGGAAAGGGAACCTCACTCATCCCCCAGAGGGTGGGACAAGGGGTGGGACTGCCTACTGGGCAGGCAGGCCAGGGGGCAGGGGTCCTAGACTCAGCTGGGGTGCCCTTGGGCCACTGCCTCCTGCACTCAGAGATGGGTGATCTGCCTGCTGGGGCCCTGAGCCTGCGAAGACCCCTCCTGAGGTTGGAACAGAGTGCTGACACTGTACCTGGCCACACCTAGGCCCTGCGCTCCACTTTGTCCACCCAACTCCGGAGTGCAGACACAAACTCCCAACACTGTCCAACTGCCTGGTGCCCAGCCCCTTCCTGCCAGCTCTGTAATCAAAGCCCACAGTGTCACAGTGCTACCACTGATTGACTGTCACCTCCCTCCCCATTCATCTCCCATTGTGACGCTTTCCTGCAGGTCTGTAGACTCAGGGCCACCTAACACAGAGGGACCCTGTGCCCCCGTGGGGCTCCCAGGTTCCAGGCTGAGCCAGAGTCCCGCCACTCACACCCCAGCCATGAGCACCTCCCCCAGGAGGGCACTCGAGTGAACAGCAAGGAAAAACCCAAGCAAAGGCGTATCCCTGCCGGGCACACGTTTATCCCAGTCAGTGGCCTCCAGGGTGACTCCCAGGGAGGCTGTGCAAAGCCATGTGCATCGACCTGGGGCGGGGCTTCCCACTTGCTCCCTGGAGACCAGCTCCTCGAACACCCAGCCCTATAGCATCCAGTGGGGGCCGGGCGTCCTCTCCACCGAGGTCCGTGTCACTGCCTGGCTGCCTCCGCCTGCCATACCAGCTCGCCCGCGATGTAGGTGGCCTGGACGTGCAGGGCATCATCGAGCACCACGAAGTCTGGGTCAGAGCCAGGCAGTAAGAAGCGGGCAAGATGGGGCCTTCCCACCCACACCTGGAGTTACTCCCCCAACCCAAGGTTGGTGGGGAAACGGAGGCCCAGGGACCTCTGACTCCTCACAGATGAACAGGATACTGGGGAACCATGATCACTGACTCCTAGCAGTTAGGGACAAGGGACGAGGCTCCCTGCAGCCCCTCTCCTGACCTGTCTTGAAGGCCACAAAGCCCAGCCTGACAGGGACAGGTCCAGACTGAGGCTGGTGGCTGGCAAGCTGTCTGGGAAAGGACTCGGGGAAGATTCCACCATTCTGGACCCTGTCCCAGGCCCCCCAAGAGCTCCTGAGCCCTCCAGCAAGGCCAGACTACTGCTTCGGGCCCTCACCTGCATCAGCACCAAAGTCCAGGGTCCCCTTGCTCTTCTCCAGCCCCAGCAGCTGGGCAGGGTGCAGGGATGCAGCCTCCAGGGCGGATTCCACGCTGCAGCCTGTTCAGGGGCACACCCTGGTGATGGGCCCCACCACCCCACAGCTCCAGCACCCCACCTCAGGGACTAGGCAACAGACATAGGGACCCAGCTCTCAGTCTTCAAGGTGATGGCCTGTCGCCCTGGCTCAACCACCCCACTGCCTGGAACCTCCCGGTGGGCAGGGTTTTGGCACATTCCCAGCACTGCCCCCTGAGAAACCCTCAGCCATGGACAGACAGAGGAGGTAAACAAAGGACCCTGGTGGGCCTCCCTCTTCCCTCCAGCTTCCACCACATGGAGCCCCTGCCCAACCTACAGACAGACAGACACACACACACACACACACACGCAGTGCTCACTGACCCGTGGCCTGCAGGAAATGTCGGACACAGACGTCCATCGGGGCTATGCTGCCACTCAGCGTCTTGGTGCCTTGAGAGCAGAGAAGCCAGGCTCTGGGGGTTCGTGGACCACAGGGCATGCGGGTCCAGAACTGGGGGTGCCGTAGGCAACAGGGGATGTACAGGCTCCCCTCCCACCACCAAGGAACCAAGGGGCTGTCCTCCCCTGGCAGTCAGTAGGACCAGGGTGCTCACCTGCCACATACGCCGTCAGCCCGTCCACCTCTACCTCCTGTTGCCCCAGCGTGTGCCGGCCATTGCCCAGGCCCAGAGCCGGGATGGCATCAGTGACCAGCACTAGCCCTGGGAGAGGGAGAAAAAGCCTCAGGACCTGCCGCCTGCTGTCCCGCCCACGTTCCTGCTCTCTGCCCATGGCTCACCCTGGGGATGGGCACGGTGGGCAATGCGCAGGGCGGCAGGGTTGGTATGCGTGCCATCAGCGATCATCCCATAGAAGATGCAGCAGCCTGGGGGCAGCCGGTCACTGGTCAGGAGCCCAACGATGCCCGGATCACGATGGTGGAACTGGGCAGGTCAGGGGAAGGGGACGGCTGAGCCACAGCAGGACCCACTGAGTCCCCACCCACCCCTGCAAGGGCACTTACGGGCAGCATGGCATTAAAGAGGTGGGTGATGAAGGTGGCTCCGCTCTCCACTGCCTCCTCTGCTGCCCGCAGGTCAGCCACTGAGTGCCCTACACAGGGACCTGGATTCAGACTCCACACCAGCACAGAACCCCCATGGGCCCGGCCCAAGACAGCCCCCTCACCTAGGGACACGCAGATGCCTCGGTCCGTCAGCGCCTGGATCACCTCATGGCTGCGGCCCAGCTCTGGGGCCAGCGTCACAATGCGTACATTGTCCAGGGGCCCATAGGTGGCCAGTACATCCTGGAAGGCGTTGGCCTCAAAGGAGCGGAGGTGGGCCTCCGGGTGTGCGCCCCGCTTCTCCCAGCTGATGAATGGGCCCTCCAAGTGCAGCCCTGGGAGGAGGGGAGCAGAGTGGCTCCAGCAGGCCCCGCCCCACCCTCACCTGCCCCCCAAGCTGGGCATCTGGAGGGGGAGGGGCTGCCAACAGGTCCCCCAGGAGCCTCCCAGGATGGGGGCAGGAAGGAGGTCAGCCACTCACCGAGGACCCCTGCCCCATGGGGACCACCACTCTTCACAGGGATCTGAGGAAGGACCTGGGGGGAACCAGCTGTTAAAGCCCTGCCCCCCGCAGCCCAGTGCCCAGAGATCACAGCCCAGCCAAGGTCAGAGGTCACAGAACAGAGTTCAGAGCCTGGTGCCCAGTCCAGCCCCCGCGGCTCATCCCTTCAGTTGTCAGAAGGTGGCTGAAGGTCCCCAACGGTGGCCAAGGAGAGAGCACAGCCAGCAGAACCGTGGGATATGTGGTCAGGAGCGGGAAGAAAGGACAGGCACAAGAGACACCAGTGGTCGGCCCATGAGGACAAGCAGGTGGTAGGTGCTTCCGGGCTGGAGAGTGGGCACTGAGGGAGGCTGCCGCCTGCCCTGGCCCTTAAGGCGGCCCCAGTCCAGGCAGCAGCTAGAGTACCGTGGGACAAGTGTCCAGAGAGCCTAGGGGCCCAGCAGGGTCACAGGCCAGCCTCAAGCTGCAGGGGCAGCAGGCAGGAGGAGGGAGTGGCAGACTCAGGGACTCCGAGGAATACAGCACAGTGGAGGCAAGGGCAGGGCTCAGCACCCGGCACGGCCCACACTGTGGCCCAAGCAGGACACAATCAGGAAGGCCCAAGTGTCAAGGGGCGACAGGCTCACAATGCACATTTTGGAGACTGACTGGCAGGTGGGTGTCCAGCCTACATCTTGTCCTCCAATATGAGCAAGGGCATGGAACTTCCAGGGCCCTGCAGACACTGGAGACTCCAAGCGAGGATGGTAGCTGGGTTATGCCCTCCACTGGAACTCCCCACCCCAAACAAAGGATTTTTTTTTTTTTTTTTCCGAGTCGGAGTCTCACTCTGCCGTCCAGGCTAGAGTGCAGTGGCATGCTCATGGCCACCGCAGCCTCGACCTGTTGGGCTCAGGTGATCCTTCCAACTCAGCCTTCCAAGTAGCTGGAACCACAGGCACATACCACCACACCTGACTATTTTTTTGATTGACAGAAGAGATGAGGTTGCCCAGGCTGGTCTTGAACCCCTGAGCTCAGATAATCCTCTTGCCTCCGCCTCCCAAAGTGCTGGGATTACAGATGTGAGTCACCATGCCAGGTTTTTTTTTTTTTTTTTAATTTTTTAATTTTAGAGACAGGGTCTCACTCTGTCATTCAAGTTGGAGTGCAATGGTGCAGTCATGGCTCACTGCAGACTTGAACGCCTGATCTCAAATGATCTTCCTGCCTCAGCCTCCCAAAGTGCTGGAATTACAAGCACCAGTCAACATGCCCGGCCCAGGAAAAATATTAAGAGGCTTAAATCCAGGGAGACCTGGTGCAGTGGCACATGCCTGTAGTCCCAGCTACTTGGAAGGCTGAGGCAGGAGGATGGCTTGAGCCCAGGAGGTCAAGGTCACAGTAAGCTAGGATCACTCTACTGCACCCCAGCCTGGGTGACATAGCAAGACTGTCTCTAAAAAGCAAACAAATAAGCAAATAAAAAGCATTTAAAAAAAAAACCTGAAAGGCAAAGAGGACAGAAAGGCATCCAGACTATGGTGGCCTGGCAAGGAGACCCTGGCAAATTAGAGTGGGCACACGCAGGGGCAAAAGTAACCGCCATGGGATCAGGTCATGGCAGCACGGGTCTTTAAGAAGTGGGGTGATCAGCTGGGCTCGGTGGCTCAGCCTGTAATCCCACGCCTTTGGGAGGCTGAGGTGAGTGGATTGCCTGAGCCCGCGGGTTTGAGACCTGCCTGGGTAGCAAGACCTCATCTCTACAATAAATCAAAAAATCAGCCGGGTGTGGTAGCGCATGCCTGTAATTCCGGCTACTCAGAAGGCTGAGGGGGAAGGATCACCGGAGCCCAGCAGGTCGAGGCTGTGGTGGCCGGGAGCGGCCACTGCACTCCAGTCTGGGCGGCAGAGTGAGACTCCAACTCAAAAAAAAAAGGAAGTGGGGTGATGACCAGAAGAGGTTGAGCACCTGGAGAAGCAAACCAGAAGGCCTCTGAGCAAGGGGTTGGTCGAGGAACAGCGGAAAACCAGGTTACTAAGTAGAGTCTGTGTTCCTTTTTTTTTTTTGAGTGGGAGTCTCACTCTGTCACCCAGCTGGAGTGCAGTGGCTCACTCTCAGCCACTGCAGCCTCGACCTGCTGGGCTCAGGCGATCCTTCCACCTCAGCCTTCCAAGGAGCTAGAACTACAGGCACGCACCTCCACGTCCAGCTAATTTTTTATTTCTTGTAGACATGAGGTCCCACCATGTTGCCCAGGCTGGTCTCAAACCCATGGGCTCAGGCAATCCTCTTGCCTCCGCATCCCAAAGTGCTGGGATTACAGGTGTGAGCCACTGTGCCCAGCTGAGTCTGTGTTCTTAAGGTTCTCGGCTTTCAGCCAAGCCTCTTTCCTCTCAGCAGAACGAGAAGACGCTTCTCCAGGGACCTGACCAGCCCAAGAGAAAGGACCTGGGGACTCAAGGAATCCCCTCCTCCAGGCTGGGTTCTTTCAGCCAGTCTGCTGGTGCCTGTCCTCAAAGACAGCACACAAACAGGTTCACCAGGCAGCTTGAGAAAATCTTTTTTTTTTTTTTTTTTGAGTTGGAGTCTCACTCTGTCGCCCGGACTGGAATGCTGTGGCATGCTCCCGGCTACCGTAGCCTCGACCTGCTGGGCTCTGGTGATCCTTCCGCCTCAGCCTTCCAAGTAGCTGGAACTACAGGCGCGCGCTACCACGCCCAGCTAATTTTTTGATTTATTGTAGAGATGAGGTCTTGCCAAGTTGCCCACGTGGGTCTCGAAACCGCGGGCTCAGGCAATTCACTCACCTCAGCCTCCCAAAGGTGCGGGATTACAGGCTGAGCCACCGAGCCCGGCTTTGAGAAAGTCTTTAAAAGGAGACAGAGAAGCACTACAAACACAAAGACACATCATGGGCACAGAAGAGAGATATTGTTAATATCCTCGGGCAACAAGAGGTCTTGCATTCATGAAACAAGAATAGGGACAGAGCATGGTGGCTCATACCTGCAATCCCAGCACTATGTGAGGCCAAGACAGCGGGATCACTTGAGCCCAGGAGTTTGAGGCTGCAGTGAACTATAATCATGCCACTGTACTCCACCCAGGATAACAGAGTGAAATGCTGACTCTTAAAAAATATTAAAAATACGTGCACACCAAAGCAAAAAACCCTAGAGAAGATAAAGTTGAGGAAATGTCCAGAAAAACAAAATAAAGAGAAAAAACTAGGAAGCAATCTAGGAAAACCAAGAGAATTATAACAAGATTCCTGCTGGGCATGGTGGCTCAAGCTTGTTATCCTAGCACTTTGGGAGGCCAAAGTGAGAAGACTGCCTGAGTCCAAGGGTTCAAGACCAGCCTGGGCAACTTGGTGGACCTCGTTCCTACAATAAATCAAAAAATTGGCTGGGCTGGCGGTGTGCACCTGTAGTTTCAGCCACTTGGAAGGCTTAGGCGGAAGGATCGCTTGAGCCCAGCAGGTCGAGGCTTCAGTGGCTGTGAGTGAGCCACTGCACCCCAACCTGGGCAATGGAGTGAGACTCCAACTCAAAGAAAAAAAAATTCCAATAAAGAGACAACAGAGAAATGGATGTGGAAAATCATCACATAAATAATTCAAGAAAAACAAGAGAACAAAACCAAAACCTGACCTTCCAGACTGACAGACCCTGACAACAGCCTGCAAAACAGATAAACTTCCCCCAGTCCCCACAGCAAGCCTGAGACTTCAGTAGAAAGATCCTACAAGCTTCCAGAAAGAAGAAATACATCATCCCTAAAGGGTCAGGAGTCAAATGGCTTTAGATGTTTCATATGCAACCCAGGAAGCTAAAAGACCACATGGGAATGCCTTTATCTACAGGAGGTCAGTTGCATTGGCTCATGCCTGTAATCCCAGCTCTCTGGGGGGACAAGACAAGAGGATTGCTTGAGCCCAAGAGTTCAAGATCAGCCTAGCCTACATAGTGAGACCACGTCTCTGCAATAAAATAAAATTCTAAAGGATAATGACTTCCAAAATTCTAGCCCAACCAAACAATTCACCAAGAAAAGAAAGACAGTTTCAGACCTTCAAAACCTCAAACACTTGGCCTCCCATGATCTGTTTCTCTGGAAGTTACAGGAGGATGTAACTCCACCAAAATGAAAGCATAAACCAGCAAAGAGAAAGGTGCCAGATTCAGCACGGGACACCCTGCAGAAAGAGGCCAGGGGACTCACCAGGGTGAGGACAAGGGAGTTCCCAGGACAGCAGCACTGGGAGAGCAGGTCCCAAAGGCTTCCAAAAGATGAGGCAACTGATGGGCCCCACAGTGCACCTCAACAGCCGGAGAGGAGAGTGGGATGGCTGGAGGGCACCTGGAGTTGAATTAGGAGCTAAGAAACCAGACAGAGAACACAGATGCCAAAGCAAGGAGCCAGCAGGCAAGAAGACATAACCGAGTCCAAGTCCCCTGTGTGGTCCTAATGACCCATCTACGTAGCTCTTCCTCCCAAAATTATGGGTAACTACTTGGAGAAGAGGAGGGGATGGGAGGAGACAGAACAGGAAGGGGGTGGGAGGGCTGGAAGGCTGAGAACAAGTGAATTCTCACCTCCCCTAGTGGGAAGACATATAACATATATTTTAGAGATATGGGGAGCAAACTCCAAAAGAGTCAGCTGAGTTGAAAGTGACTGTCCCGAGCGGTAAGTGGGCGGGGCAAAGGTCCACTGCTTGTCCTAACAAGTCATGCAGATACACAAGTTCACCAAAGATCAAAAAGAAAAAAAAAAGATGATGGCAGAGTGTTTCCAGAACAGAGCTTTAAAAGAAAAGACAAGAAGCACTAAGTAAGGAGAACAGAATAAAGGATCCCCCCGAGGAGGAGGAGGGAGTGAGACTCACTGCAGGCAGGAAAGCAGCTGAGAAGGTCAAAGTGCATAGGGTGTGTGGAGCCAGAGGTGGTGGCCTGGCTGCCAACCTGAGGGGTCCAATCTTGGCTCAGCAGATAACGGACTTGAAGTGGAAAATGAGGTGATTGATCTGCCTCCAGGCATGGAAGCAAAGGTCAGGGCTAGAGGAGGAACCCACCCCCCAGAAAAGAGCAGGTGGTCTCAACAGACCAGAGCATGACAACAAAAGACACTGGCAACTTCTAGCAAAGTGACCACCCAATTCCACCCAAGGTATATGGATCCTAGGGGGAAAATGGGGTGGCCGGGATGGGAAGGAGTGAAAGGGCTGCTGGCTTCTATGTTACTGGCAGGAGTTGTTATAAGTCCCACCAGTAGTTACTCTCCACCTCCCAAGCCCTTCATCCCGGCAGGCTGCAATGGGTGCTGAAAAGAAAATGAAGTCCTACTCACTAGAGACCCCTCCTTTTTCTATTTTTTTTGAGTCAAGAGTCTCACTCTGTTGTCCAAGCTGGTGTATAGTGGCACACTCAGGCCACTGCAGCCTTGACCTGCTGGGCTTAGGTGATCCTTCCACCTCAGCCTTCCAAGTAGCTGGAACCACAGGACGTGTACCACCATGCCAGTTAATTTTTTGATTTATTGTAGAGACGAGGTCTCACCAAGTTGCCCAGACTGGTCTCGAATCCCTGGGTTCAGGCAATCCTCTCGCCTCTGCCTCCCGGAGTGCTGGGATTATAGACATTATAGACATGAGCCACCTGTCCAGCTAGACCCTTCCTTCTAAGGAAGAGCTGGCAGCATCTCCCTTCCATGCTGGTCAGACACGCAGCTGAAGCCCAGGCAGCCTACAGGCAGGGTGGGCAGGTGGGCAAGGCTTGGCAGAGGAGGCCTGGGGGTCAGAGGGCTGGCATGGGACCAAGGCCAAGGACTTCCAGGCATAAAGCATGGGGGCAGGAGAGAGGACAAAGAGGTTCAAGAAGTAGGAGGGAATGCTGCGGGCAGGGCGGGGTGATGTGCTGAGTCCTGTCTTGTATAAGTCACTCAGTAGGACCCAGAGCCTGGGACAGTGGCTGTGAGAACCAGCTGCCAGCTTGCAGCAGAAAACAAGTTTGACTTTTGATATGTGACTGCGCTGGGAGAGTTGTGGAAATTTTGAGAAAGACACCTATAGCTGACATTTACTGAGTGCTTAACGTGTACCAGGCAGATTGCTGATCACACTCTGACCCTAAGAGATGGATACTGTCATGATTCTCACTTGAGGTTTGAGAAAACTGAGGCTCAGAAGACAGTCAGATTGTCCCACACCTTCCAACTGATGGATGAAGCCAAACCCAGTAAGCACAAACCCAGAGCCCACACTCGATCCCTACAGCTCCTTGCTCTGACTGTGTCCACAGGCCCAGAAAAGGACCTCGAGGACAGATGATACAATCCATAATCCTGCATTGGAGGAAGAAACCACTGGGGCAATAGACAAGACTAGGACACCGGCAGGTGGACTGAAACATTAATAGGATTTATCTTCTAAACTCACTAACTAGTGGTTGCACACACAAACACACACCAAAAACCCTTTTTTTTGAGTTGGCGTCTCACTCTTGTCACCCAGACTGGAGCACAGTGGCACACTCATGGCTAACACTGCCTCAACCTGCTGGGCTCAGGCAATCCTTCTGCCTCACCCTTCCAAGTAGAAGGAACTACAGACATGTGCTACCATGCCCCACTTCGTTTTTTATATATATATATATATATATATATATATATATATTCTTTTTTTTTTTTTTTTTTTTTTGAGTTGGAGTCTCACTCTGTTGCCCAGACTGGAGTGCAGTGGCCGCTCCCGGCCACCGCAGCCTCGACCTGCTGGGATCCGA